TACCTCATGTATAAATAGAGGGGGAGCGTGAGGCTTCCCGGTATCGCTTTAGAGAGCAATTGAGTTGAGTTTTGAGTTAGGGTTTCGAGTTTAGTCGAAATTTTTCTAAGGAGTGCTGTTGGTGCACTTTGTAAACATAGAGAGAATCAATAAAGTCGTCATCTACTTTAAGAGCGGGTTTCGGCGGTCTAACCGGTGATCTACCGGTGGTCAGACTGGCGGCAAGCGGCGGTCAGACCGGCGGGAGCACGGCGGTCAGACCAGCGGCGGCAGCGACAGGCGCGGCAGGCTACTTCGGCGGTCAGACCGGAGATTCAATACCGGTCAGACCGGCGGCATCTACCCGGTTAGACCAACAGGACAACTTCGGTCAGACCGCGATCCGTTGAATTCGAGGGTAACTTTTATTTCCGCTAAAAGTTTTCGGTTTTTGGGTACACCAACCATTCACCCCCCCTCTGGTTGGCTTAGTTCTTGTGATTCGATCCTACAAGTGGATCAGAGCCTGACGACGGCTGTGGCCTCCGGCTATGGCCGTGGCGGCGGCAGCAACCGGGTCGACAGCGGCAGCGGCAGTGGTTATCTGGGGTGTTACACCATGTCTGCCATAACATGAGGAGCTTCGTAGACAAGGTGACATTGCTCGACCCTGAGGTGTCTAATTCAATTGTTTATACACACATAGGATGACAAATTTACAAGTATGTAGACTAACTTGGCGCTGAACATGCATGAATTTATTTCAAGGATTCCGGAAATCAACTTCGAAATCATTAGAGAGGAGATAGCACAATTCATACTAGATGATATCTTGTCACCAAAAGGGATGTTTAGAGTGAAGTCCTAGGTAGCTCATCTCAGAATGGCAGAACATTTGCAATGCATACGCGATAAACATTTGATTTTTGTAAATATTCTTTGTAATACAATTAAATTCTTTAGAGTAAAGTCCTAGGTAACTTGTCTCTTTATATACTTGCATTTCTAATTACATATAAAATTGTTCCAATTTATAACTTAGTTTTGCAGGTTTTGATGCATGTCGGTGGTTTGGAGAGAAAAATGGATGTGAATGACATATACTTCCTCCTTTTCACAGTGTAAGACTTTCTAGCATTACCACATTCATTTAGATGTTAATGAATCTAGACATATGTATGTGTCTAGCTTCATTAACATCTTTATGTATGTGGCCAATGCTAAAAAGCCTTAGATTGTGAAACGGAGGGAGTATATGTGATGTGAATGCATGTGTTGTGATGGAATACAAATGTGAATGAGTTGTGAATTGGCTGTGAATGCATGTTTTGTGATGGAATGTAAATGCTGTGATGCTGGGAATATAAATGTTGTGAATTGGCTGTGAATATTGTGATGCTGGAAATGGGGTTGCTGGGAATGGGACTATATATATGTGCTTCTATCAATTTTTGCAGCGGGCATGGCTAGCAAAGTCCTAAGGCTAGCCAAATTATAAAATTTTATTTTTTTTTTCCAAACTCATCCCTGACGGGCATATTAATAATGCCCGAAAGAGATATGTCATCCGTGACGGGCTTTTAGAATAAGCCCGATAGAGCTAAGTCATCCGTGATGGGCTTTTAGAGTAAGCCCAATAGAGATAAGTCATCTGAACCGGGACTCGTTTGACTTAACACGTGAGGTCAAACCAATTGGTGTCGGGCTCTATCTAAATGCCCGATTGAGATGACTAGTTACCCGTGACGGGCTTAGTGGTGTGCCCGATTGAGATTAGTCATCCGTGACGGGCTCCTAACTATGCTGGTTTGACTGGTCATACTCATCTGTGACGGGCTTTGTTTTCGGCCTGATTGAGATAACATCCATCCGTGACGGGCTTTTGCCCGATTGAGATTTTTCCTCACATCAGTGACCTTTGTCCAGTGACGGGGGCCTTACCCGATAGTGATGAGGCTTTTAGCACGTCACAGATAAGCGATCCCGTTCTAGTGGGAGGTGGTTCTTCCTCCGGGGCGAGGCTAGGAATAAGTCTATTTTGCCTCCGTCAACTCATGCTCTAGTTGAATCGCATTCCACAACCCCTAAACCGGGTATAACCCGTCCGCTAACTTTCAAAACCATTGCAAATCGACTTTCCGGACGGTTTCGGATAAGAATAAGTTCACCAGCCGTCCCTCAACTTTACAGTGACTGGAAGGTGCATGTAGCCATCCCTTCCATGGTCAGAAAAGAAGCACGGAAAACATCGTTGCCAGGGCCATCTTCTGCTTCAACGATCGATATGTAAGCACATCACTGACAGTTCGTAATCAAACTTGAGCAGTGATTGAAACAATTTCAGCCAAAGAAAAAGGAAAAAAGAGTTCGAGCAGAAAACGGACTCTGTTTATGACATTCTGCAATCTTGGATGCGTATGTTCTTGCATTGGTCGTCGGGTGTAGATCTACAGCGGATGCCAGGGGACAGCACAGGCTGGGGTGGGAGGGCGTGCTGCGTGTGCCGTCAGAGGCGGAAGGATCTGGCTTCCCGCCCCTCGGAAGCGGCGACGGCTGAGGGGGCGAGCGGCGCAGCACGCGGATCCAGTACACCGCTAGCAGCAACCACCCGTATGGCATCCCGCCGCCATCGCCACACCAGCCCCTTCTCCCCTCCCCCATCTCCCGCCGACTGGCCACCCTCTTTAGCTAGCCGCGTCGGGTTGGGACAAAAAGAGAAGAAAGAGGAGGATACCTGTCATGTGGGCCCACACATACGTTTTGTTATTGTTTTGCTGACTAGGATGCCACGTTAGCGAGACCATATATATATACAGTTATGAGACCAAAATTGCATGGTTTTATATAATTTAGGGGTGAAGATTTTCGATATTGGGGATTAGGGATGTTATACAAACTTGACGTAAAGTCGAGGGATGACATGTAAACTTATTTCTCTCAGAGGCGATTCCGTCCTACGTGGGACCAAACAGCCCAACAAGGGAAGTAGCGGCCCACGAGGGCACGACGGGCCCAAATAGCCCCAAACTCCTCAGACGGGCGGGCTCACAATGATTCATGGGTATTCAAATGAAAACCCAAGATTTTTTTTAAAAAAATACATATATGAAGTATATATTCCATATGTATATGACATGTGAACTTATTTCTCTCGAGAAAAAGTACATCGAAGGTCCATCATGTTGTCATCGGGTTACAAAATCATCCTCCAACCACAAACCAGGTATATCGCATCCCTAATCTTACAACACCGGGTTACTTTAGGTCCCTAGGCGGTTTTGACTCTGGTTTTGATCAATGTGGCAGCTGAGTCAGCATGGGACCCCACGTGGGTCCTACACGTCAGCCTCTTCTTCCCCTCCCCTCTCCACCTCTCTTCCTCTCTCCTCATCTCTCCACGGCCGACGGCTGACGGAGACGAGCTGTGCGCGGCATGCCGATGCGGCGGGAGCGGGCGCGGGCGAAGGCCGGCGGGTGCAGGCGAAGGCCGGCAGGCGCGAGCGGCGGCGGCGGCGTCACCGAGCTCGGCCAAGCATCAGCGCGCAAAGAGAGAGCAGTGGCAACAATCCCGCGTCTGTATCAGCCTTAGTCCCGACGGCGGGGAGCAGCTAAACTATGGGATGGTCGACGTCACACCCGCAGCCTCTTTCCACCAGACGCACCATCATCACCCCAACCTCACCGGCGACGACAACGACAAACTCCCTCCACCATTCCCCTTACTTCCGCCATCGCCCTCCTTCGCCTCTCCCCACCTCGCCGGCGACGACGACAACCGTAACGACGCGAGCGCAAGGTATGTGAGCACCTCCTTTCTCTTCGCCCCAAGCATTGCCACCATCGCCACCACAACCGCCGGCAGCAGCCTCAGCTCCTCTTCGTCGGTGTCGCTGTTCCCTACATGCTCTGCGCCAACCAGCTCCTCTCCGTGGAGAGCTCCACCCGCCACCGTCACCACGGTGCTCAAGGTCCTCCCCGAGCGTTGACTTGTGCTTCCGCCGCTCAGCCGCATGCTCCTGCACTCCTTCCCGACGCGCTCCGCTGCTCCTTAGCCACCCGCAACTTCCACGAACTCTTTCACGCACTGCTCCTGTTCCTCAACCTTTCTTGTCAGCTCCGCCACGGCCTCGCCATGCGCCGCGTGCCGTTCCCACGCCGTGGTGAAGACGGCGTGCATCTGCTGTCGCAAACCCCTTCCTCTCCCGCAGCGTGGGCTTTATCTGCGGCGACCACCGGCACCGCCGCCTCCCGTCGGTCACTCTCGTGCACTGGAAAGAGATGGGGGAAGAGAAGGGAAAGAGGAAGAGGAGCTGAGGCTGTTGTCGATGGCTGTGGTGGAGATGGCGACGAAAGAGCGTCAGGTGTCGCCGTCACTGTTGCCTTCGCTGGGCACCCCCCGCCTCGAAGGTCTCGCGCACGGACAGAAAGGGGAGGAGGAGAAGGAGGAAGTGCCCAGGTCGTGGTCGGTGACATCGCCGCCGCCGGCCACCACCCGTCTTTGCCAGCGAGCGCCGCCGCCAATGGCCGCCACTTGTCTTTGCCAGTGAGCGTCGCCGTCGCGCCGCACCCTTGTTGTCAATCACCAAGAAGAGGACTGCAGGTCAGAGGAAGAGAGGTAGAGAGAGTAGTGCAAATAGTCACTGACAGGTGGGCCCACATGGGGACCACGCTAACTCAGATGCCACATCATCTAAAACCGAAGACAATACCGTCGAGGAATCTAGTTTGCACTTTGCACTGTTTTGTAAGTTGGAGGATGTGTCATGTCGGGTTTTGTGGTTCAAGGGCGATTTTTTAATTCAATGACAAGATGAGGGACCTTCGGTGTACTCATCCAAAAGAAGCCCAAACCTATCCCTCCCACCATCTTCCTCTCCCCACTTTTTAAGGCCCATTGGCCCAATAGCAAAAAAAAAAATGGCCCAAACTCTATCAAACCCTATCTCCTCACCTCCCGTTCCCGATCCCGCCGCCCGCCGCCCGCCCGCGCCCGGCCGCCCGTCGCCCCCGCGCCGTCGCGCCGTGGCCGTCTCGCCGTCGCCCCGCCGCTCCGGTCAGCCCCTCCACGCAGTTACACGCGCGCCGCCCGCCCGGCTCGGCAGCCGCCAGCGGCACGCGCCCCGCGCGGCCAGGGCCAGCCGACCACGCCACGGCACCAGCGCGGCAGCGCGCCCCGGCGCCCCGATCCCTCCAGTAGCAGGCAAGCTTCCGGGCTCCAGTCCACCGGCCACACGCCAGCGACGCCGCCCGGTCGTCCGAGTCTCGAAGGTAACTCTTCCCTAGTTCCCTTCATCCCCTGTCCTGCGCCCTTGCTGCCCGTAGATGTCATGTCTGATGTTGCTCCTGCTAGGTATGAGGCCATGCTCTGCTTCATTTTTACCATGCCCTTGTGCAGTTCCTGCTCCTTAGGTGCCTCCTAATTCTTGGAATCACGCAGATAAATGACAAATTTGCAGTCTAGAAACCTTTAGCTGTATGTGCTGAACTTAAATAGGTTGTAGCCGCTGCTTTTGGTGTGAAATCTAGTTGAGGGAGAGGGTCAAGACTGAACATTTTGTAGTTTTTGCTTGGGTTCAGGACTTCAGATACTAATTGAAATTAGGAAGCACTCCATGCTCGGAGACCAGGGAGTTACTAGGCCTTTCAGACTTCAGGGAGGAGGAGTTGTTTTGGAGGAGTTGTTTTTTATTAGAAGATCCTGTCAGTTGTTAATGTATCTTAAAAACTGTACTTATCTTTGTTGATAGAAAACGTTGGTCTGAATTTTCATCTGAGCACCTCAAAAGTAGTTTCATGGTTGAATATAGTATATTGTTGTTTTGTAGGTTTGAAACGTGAAGAGAAAAAACATGAATATAGTATATTGTTGTTTTGCAGGTTTGAAATTATGTTTATACCGTTATATATTATACAACTATTAGTGGGTTGGAAATTTTTTTTTTATCTCTTCTAATTTCGAATACCCAAGTTGAAAATCCTGGGCCCGCCTGTCCCCATGGCTGGAGGTGAGCCGGTTCCCCCAAATTCGACAACCTGTTGCCTCACGCGCTGCCGCCCGCCTCCGTCCCCCGTCGCCAACCTGCCGCTGTAATCCCAGCCGACGGGCCACCTCTAAGTGAACTGCTCATCTCGCTCCCATTTAAGCCTGCAGCTAGTGGGTTAGCTGTTTGTCGTTGTGCGTGTGTTAATCTACTACGCTGCGAGAATTGTATGGTGTTTTCATTTAGTGGTGCAGATTGTAGCTTGTAGAATCGATCCTCCTTGTGAATAACTTTGGTATTTCAATGTTGTGCGTGTAGAAATTCGTAGGTTGTGTAGAGGAAGGGAACCGTTGCTTCACTATTGATTGCAGTTTTTTTTTCCCAAATTCCGAATTTAATTGTTGATTTTAGCCTGTTTTTATACGAGATGCTATTGCTATATCTATATCTTTTTTTTTTTAGCAAATTTTGTAGGTGTATATTGGATTTATGGTGTGATAAAAATTTGGATTTGTGGGTTGTGACAGGCACAATCAACAAAAAAATTACTTGAAGGAGTTCTACTGTACAGTGAGCATTCGTCGACGATATGGTTCATTTCAAGAACAGGTACATGGTGATGGAGGTGTTCATCGATACACCAGTCAAGGGCCAGCCCGACCCTCTCATTCTCACGCAGATCAATATCACCAAAGCTATCAAAGACAGCATCCAGCTCAACTTTGGGGAGTGTGGCCTAGCAGCTTGTCTTGGGTCGTTGCAAGGTTGGTGTTTGTTAGGAGTACATCGACAACCCTCTTACAGTTTTCAGACAGCGTCATGAATGCTTGCATTTTGAGTCGTTATTTATAGGTGTTTATGAGCTCTGTTCATCTGCAGTGAAGTATGTAAATCCGATAACGAAGCTTTGCGTGATCCGAGTTTCCCGTGAAGATCACCAGAAAGTGTGGGCTGCTATCACCATGGTGAGGAACATTGGGAAAATCCCAGTTTCATTCAACCTGCGGGATATGAGTGGTAAGTGGATAACTTCCTATATATACATGGTGGAAGAAAGCAAATTTTAGTTTTAGGTTTACATCTGGAGTAAGTTTATTTCACTGTCTGGTGCCCAAGTTTGGGAAATCAATTCCCTGCAATAAAACTGTCTGTCTAACCATGTTGCTTTATTTACTCAGCCCACAGCCTTGAATTCATGCAACTTAAATACATTGTTATCCTGATTCCTTGCTTTGATGCGACCAACTTAACGAGGACTTTGAATTGCTCGCTGTACACTATTAGTCTATTATGACAACAAATTCTTTCACATTTACATTTTTTAAAGCTGCATACTAATTGAAACCTCTTGGATTATAGTGTTTTCGCTCCATAAACGATTTCTTCCTAGTGCGTGTGTTGAATTAGTGACTTAGTGGGCTTAAATATTTCAATGAAAACTTTAGCTGAACATCTCACTACAAATTTGGATTAGTAGTGGTTGGGGAATGGATTGTGAAACTAAAGCAGTTTTATCATTATGCACGATAATTGATTTCTGGCAACATGTATCTTTTCTTCTTCTTCTTTTTTTGTACAGACATGAATTTATTTCTGATTTTCTGTATTCAGGGCAATCCTGATTTTCAGTGTAAGGTGAAGTTCAGATGCTATCAGCGCTGCTAAATGCATTCTCTTTAAATTCCGATGACATGAATACTACAGTTTGTTAAAACATCTTCAAACAATATATTGTATGGTGTTTTCATGCATTTTAACTCTAGCATGATGGAGTCTCAACTTTTCCATTTGACTCCTCATGTATTTTGACATGCTGACTCGTTCTGCGTGTTTATATATTGCATTCCCTAAGTGAAATGTTTGCAAGGCCATCGTACAACCCGGAGCAGAGCTAATTCATCAATATCCTTTTAACTTCATTCAGGAAGTATCAGGGCCTGCAAGAAGGCTGCGTTGGAGTGTGAAGAAGCTAAGTTCGAGTATTACAAACTGGCTGCTGGTGATCGTATCACGCCCAAGTTTGTGGAGACCATGGAGAGCTGCTTTGCCAAGATTAAAGGATTAGAGAGCTAATGCATCCTCGTGTATCATACATTTGTTTCCTGACACTTTAGTGGATTATTAATCTGTAGGGAATCAAGTAAACAAAAATTTTGTTTGTCTGATCAACTAATCACTGAGCCTATTTTTTCGAATGTGCAAGAATGACGCATATCGATTAAGAGAAATTTTGTTTGTCTTGAATTCTGTATGTATATTTTACTTGAGAAGCAAAACCACAAGCTGACGGAGTCCCAATTTTCTTGATTACACAAAACAGAAATATTAACTCCGGGATGCAATACAACATGAACCATCAGATTCACGACAAGGCAGAATTGCATCTTCAGATCAAGCAAGAGAAGCAAAAACCTGTCATGGGCACAGTTGTCACCCACGCAGGGTCGCATCTTCAGATCACACACGGTTGCATCTTCAGATCAGATTTTAGTCACAGTTCAGGATGCAATTATTATCGCGAAGAAAATGGCACGGTTTGAAAATTAAGGGTAAACTGAAACATACATTGGCAGTTGCCACCCTCAAAACCAGTCCCTGTGTTCTTTACACCTTCTGTTACATCTGAATTCAAACATACGGAAACACAATTCCTGCAGTTCCCTAGAATGGTTCAGCGGCTGCTGAAAAGATATATATTCATTTTCCCAAAAATATAACGGCAATTTTTACCAACACATCACCAGATGGAAGCTTCACAATAAGCGACGGTTCCGGCTTTCCAGGAGTTGACAAGCTCCAGGACATGCTAGTCATTCTGCCTCTGCTTACACAAACCGAATCTAGTCTCTGCTAACACAAGCTAAATACAGGCAACCTTGAAATTACGTACTGCTGTTGATTAAACTGACAAATGACAACCAACTTCAGAGCTATTAATGAATTGTTCACTATTGTTATGTTGTCAATGAACAAAAATGGTTTGCATGACTGCATTTCAACTTAATAATTGCATCCACAAATGTCTGAAATTTGATTTCTGGCATAGTGACTAATGACCACAGTATAGCATGTTTTATGAACTAATGAAACATCTTCCAGTGGATAAAAGGTATGCTGATTTGGGGTAAGATATTCAATCATCATCACATAATACACTGCTATCAATGTGAATACAATACAACTACCAACCCACAATATAAAAATAAAGAACAAGAGGATATTTGATGCGATGGAATGGTGACAATAACAACAGGAGCAATACTAAATACATCTCAAGAGAATTACACACGACCAGCAATAAAGTCAGCTATACGTTACAAGGTTTCTCTCTTGCAAATGCCACAAAAGAAAAGCTAGCACAGCATCCACAGTCGCAACACAAAAACAAACAAAAGTATCATTTCACCTATTGTTTTGGCAGTTGGCAGTACAGAAGAAGCAATTCTTCCCTTGAAATTACAACTTCGCGCATTGCTACGGAGCTCCACGATAAGTTGACTGCAACCAAGCACACCAAGATCAGTAATGAAATAAACAAGCATACCAAATTGACCAATGAAAATATGTTTCGTATATATGTAGCTGTGTGTAATTGTAGGTTTGATGAATTTAATCAAAGAGGCTTCCAATTTCTACAGTGGTGAACACCAAATCAGTGTTCCTAGCTTCTCATCACTGTTAGTTCCAAACAAACAAAATGCATGGCAGCTCAAATCTTTAGAAAATGGTGCTTGCTAACATAATGGAGTTGCCAACTGATTTCATTCATTAGAAAGTGGAAAGCTACCACAGAAGCATAATTTCGCCTAAATCAACCTCACCAAATTAATCAGTAGCAATAATCAGTGAAGATAGACACCAGGTCTCACCAATTCGTACCTATCCAATCCGAAATATTTAATGGCCATGGCCGTCCGAGGACGAGGAGCAGCATCCACCGCCGCCGCCGCTTGTCCCCTCGCCGGCGTCCCCGGGCGGGCTCCGGCGGCCGCCGTCGGGGTCGTCGTCGCTGCAATCCTCGTCGAAGGGGACGTCCTTGTGGAAGATGCAGCACTTCTTGGAGCTCTTGCGGCCGAGGGACTCGTTGTCCACCGTCCCCTCCTTCCACGTCACCTTCTTCTTCGCCCGCCGCTTCAGCCGCAGCACCACCGTCTCCGCCGCCGGCGGGGGCGCCGACGAGGCCGGCGCGGAGGAGGACGGGGTGGGGTCCACCGTCACGGTCGCGGACCCGGTCGCCGGCGCGCGCGTTGCCATCGGCGGCGAATCTTGGTCGTCTCCGACTCCCGTTTCTTCTCACCTGTTTTTTTTTTCCTTTTTTTCGATTTTTAGTTTCTTTTTTAGTCAGCGCTAGTGTTACGACGAATTTTATTTCCCATAAGCCAAAACAGGAAATAAAAATTAAATAAATAATCCTTTCAAGTCATATCTACGACGCTAGAATTTTTCTATCATTTGGATGGTGTAAACCATTACTACAGCCTCTAACACCAATAGAGTCCGATCTTCGTTGACCTCCATCTAATAAGTGCAAGCCAGACAAAGGCTAGGTAGTAAAGGATTGCACGCTAATAAAAATAGAGAAGATTTTAGTGTTGTAAATATGGACATATGGCCTATATAGGACTATTTTCTTTAATTTATTTCATGTTTTGGCTTATGGAAAAAAAATTTAGGCGTTAAGAAGTGGAAATGCCAATTTAAACTTAAATTGAACTATATCCATGAGAGTTTTATTTTTTAAAAACAGTGTCTGGGAGTTGACATGGGAACTCCTCGGTTTTTTTTTACGGTACTAGTGGGACTTGACAAGAAGAATGGATTTGTATTACCAATTAGTTAGTTCAGAATTTTTTATTTACATTTTATATAGGAAAAGTTCAAGGTTGCATAGTATTCTTTTCACTTAATAAACGATCGTACTTACGAGTTACCCGTTGTTAATTTTGTTGCTAGCACACACCTAAACCTATATTCAACATCAAATTTTTTCGATTTTCATTATTTAGAATTATTTAAACAATAAAATATATTTAGACTATATCTTAGCGTAGAAAATAATCTAATCCTCGTAAACTAAACTTTGACAAGAGTTCAGTCAATTTTATTGACCTGAGATTATTTATTGGTTATAGGAGTTACCTTGCACTTTATTTGGAGTATTTTGGAATTTTTTTATCTCCCGCCACTGCTGGGAAACCCTCTTTAATCCCGGTTTGCAACCCCTATATTCCCGGGTTGTAAACCGGGAGTAAGAATCAGGTATTAAAGATCGCTATCTTTAATCCGGTTAAAATACTCGGGAGTAAAGATGCATTATTAGTCCCGGTTGGTAACACAAATCGAAAGTAATGTTTTTTTCTTTTTTTCCTCCTTCGTTTTTTTTCTCCTTTTTCATTCATAGCACATCACAAATTTATTCACAGAAAAATTCACAAATCAACATCAACAAATCATCTAAAAAAATCAAGAAAAACTGAAACAAATCAAAATCCCATCGTGCCACCTGGCCACCAGCCACCGACCGGCCTCCCTTCCCGCCGCCGGCCGGCCACCCTTCCCATCGCCTCCCCTCCGACCGGATATGGCGGAGGGGGCGGTGTCAGACCCCTCTACTATCGAGACTAAAAATCTATTTTTAGTTCCATCTTAACACAACAAACGGGGGAAAAAGCCTGAGCCACGCGCGTCCAGCTCTCTCTCCCATCCTTGCTCCATCCTAATCACGCGTCCGGCCGGCCGCCTCTCATCTCGCCGGCCCGTCTTGTGTTNCTATTGGTCGGCCTTCCATTACGCCGCCTGTCGGAGGGAGGGGAGGAGGGGAGGAGAGGGGAGGGGGCCGGAAGAGGGGGGAGGAGGATGGGTGAGAGAAGAAGGAAACGGAGGATGAGAGAATGGGAGGAGAGAAGGAGATTAGGATGGAGCAAGGATGGGAGAGAGAGCTGGACGCGCGTGGCTCAGGCTTTTTCCCCCGTTTGTTGTGTTAAGATGGAACTAAAAATAGATTTTTAGTCTCGATAGTAGAGGGATCTGACACCGCCTACCATATATTGAACCGGGCCTAATAATGATTTTTAGTACCAGCCAGTCAGGCAGCACTATCAGGTTGTGATTGCCACCTCTCCTATCATGCTATCTAGCCTGAGAATTAGTTAGCAATAGCATATACTCGCTCCTTCAAATAATTATATCTAAGTACATCTTATATGTCATACTGGTTTTTTTATTTTGTTAGTATGTGTTACATCCCGAAATAGATTTGTTTATTTTGTTATGAAAGCAGTTTGAATTTTTTTTTGAAAAAAAGACAATCACTATCGTGACTCCTACTTACGGTGATATGGAGTTACCAATCACTTCGATCTAGTCAAAAGCTAAATCAAGATGAGTTTTGTAAGACTAAACCAGCTAGCAAAATCGATTTAGATGGAACAAAGGATAAACACCCATTTCATAGGCAAATGGTAGGTTTACGAGACAAACCTGCAAAAGGGATAATCATACTCTCATAGCTAAGATGGACGGCTTTCAGTATAAACCGGTGAAGTTGGACAAAACTAGGCTAAAACTAGTTAAAAAGTAAATGCGATATTGAAAAGCGATTGTGTTGAAAGTAGATTGTGTGTCCAATTAAACCGGTCTTGTCTCTTATAAAAGGATTAGTCTTGCCTCCTACATAACCTTTTCCACATCAAATTATGGTAGAGATAAATTAGAATTTGAAAAATATCTCCCCATGCAAGAAAACTCGAAACCCGGCGAAATTCGCTTCAAACTTGGAAAATACCTCCCCATGTCTCTGCCGCCAATGAAAATCTCTTTTCACCACCAACGAAAACAGTTTTTCTAGTAGCGCTTGTTTGTTTCTCACTGTGCTCTGCAAATATGGGCTGGACATATAGGACGTTTAACAAGAACATATGGGCTGGACATTCTAGCATCTATCACGGTACAGTACGTTGATCCTCAGAGGAACAATTGCTTTTCTACCGCAATGAGATTGCGTAGACGAAGCTCGACAATCTCATCCAAAGTAACCCAATGTTGTGACCGCTCACTAGTGGAAAAACCATCTTTGATCCGTCGGCCGAAATCCACGATAGTCCCGGATCCATTTAAAACCAGGACTAAAGATGATCTTTAGTCCTGGTTGGTGGCTACAACGGGCATATTTGATCTAGTCTCGGTTGTAGAGATGTCAGACGTTGTCAGGGCCCCGGGATCTTTAGTCCCGGTTGGTAAACACCAACCGGGACTAACGATCCTAACTTTAGTCCCGGTTGGTGTTACCAATCGGGGCTAAAGATCCACCGGGACCAAAGATCCCCCTTTATATATGCCTTCTTCCTCTTTCAGCCCAAGAGCAAGCTTCAAAATTTCTCTAAAAAAGAGGGGAGGTCATGCCAAAATTTCTTGTGAAATTTTTTTAGTGATTATATACAAATCGGAGATGTCTAAAAGGTTAGTAATTTCATCCTCCAATTTTTTTTTTGTTGTTATATTACTTTTGGAGCTATGTTTCACACATTTTTTTTTGTCTCCAAAACTTTGTTGTAAGTTGATGAGAGAGAAAATTTGTGTGGGGAAGAAGAATATATAGCAAATTTATTCTCATAGTGTGAGATTTGATGAAAATTAATCTTAAAAAATATGAAACAAAGTAAATTGAAAGATTAAGAGAAGTACAACATTAATATTAGTTTAGACTTCAAAAATTATTAATAAGAATTGCTTGTCGAAAGAGTTTTTAATTATTTTATCATTACTGTTTGACTGTCATTATTGTACGAAATTTATTTATGTACGATTTTGTTATTTCATGTAGATGGATCGACCATGGATGACGCTGACCGGTGATCCAAAAGTTTATCGAGGGCGTGCATTATTTTTTTGAGAGTGGCCGAAGCTAACAAGCGTAACGGTTTTATTTGTTGTCTATGCAATAAGTGTAAGAACCAGAAGTAGTATTCTGCATCCAGGACTATTCATTTCCATCTGTTTGAGTCGGGGTTCATGCCAAGCTATAATTATTGGACATCCCACGGTGAGCAAGGGGTTGAAATGGAAGAAGATGAAGCGGAGGACGAGAACATTCCCGACTGGGCTCAGTACGCTGGATTTGAAGGAAATCAAACGGGCGAGGTGGACAGGGATGTTGGCGATAACAACGCTTCGGATGATCTTGGTCAGATGTTGCAGAACGCAAAGGAGGATTGTGAAAGTGAAAAGGAGGCCCGTAAATTGGAGCAGATGTTAGAGGACCACAGAACGTCGTTGTACCCAGGTTGCGAGCAGATGCACAAAAAGTTGGATACCACTCTGGAGTTCTTGCAACGGAAGGCAAAATATAGTGTTAGTGACAAGGCATTTGGCGATTTATTGAAACTCGTCAAGAACATTCTTCTGGAGGGAAACAAATTGTCCAAGACAACGTACGAGGCTAAGAAGATAGTCTGCCCTCTAGGACTGGAAGTTCAGAAGATTCATGCATGTCCGAATGATTGTATCCTATATCGTGGTGAGGAGTCCGAGAACCTAGAAGCATGCCCTGTTTGCAAAGCACTACGATACAAGATTAGACGAGAGGATCCAGGTGAAGTTGACGGGCAGCCAACAAAGAAGAGAATTTCTGCTAAGATGATGTGCTATTTCCCTATAATACCACGGCTAAGGCGTTTGTTCAGGAACAAGGGGAATGCTAGAATGATGCGATGGCACGCTGAAGAATGTCAACAGGACGGGATGCTGAGACACCCCGCCAATGGTTCACAGTGGCGAAACATCAACAGAAAATTTAAAGACTTTGAAAAGGACGCACGAAACATACGGTTTGGTTTAAGTACGGATGGCATGAATCCTTTTGGAGAGATGAGCAGCGGCCATAGCACTTGGCCCGTTACAATGTGTATCTACAACCTCCCCCTTGGCTATGCATGAAGAGGAAATACATAATGATGCCGATTATTATTCAAGGCCCCAAGCAATCTGGTAACAACATTGATGTGTACCCAAGACAACTAGTCGAAGATTTTAAACTATTGTGGAAAAAGGATGGTGTCCCAGTGTGGGACGAGGACAAACAGGAGGAGTTTAACCTACGAGCGCTGCTGTTCGTAACCATCAACGATTGGCCTGCACTAAGCAACCTTTCCGGGCAGTCCAACAAGGGGTACAAGGCTTACACTCGCTGTATGGAAAGTTGTGTACATGGGTCATCGCCGATTCCTTGTTGCAAACCACCCGGTACGGAAGAAAGGCAAGCACTTTGAACATAAGGTGGACCACCATACGAAGCCTAAACATCACAGCGGGAAAACAATGTTTGCTATGATTAAAGATCTTAAAGTAGTGTTTGGAAAGGGGCCTGGAAGCCAGCCTATAGAGAGCGAAGATGGTCACGCGGTGATCTGGAAAAAGAACACTATATTTTGGGAGTTACCCTATTGGGAATTCCTGGACGTCCGCCACGCAATCGACATGATGCACCTCACTAA